CCTCATCTTTACTAAAGCAGGAAAGTTTTTTTTGGCTCCTGCCAACCAAAACCAAAAGAGTGTTGGTGTGTTTATTTATGAAGGTATATGCTCCTGACTACTTTCATCTAGAGCAGTGGTTCTCAACCTTCTGGCTCTTTAAATACAGTTCCCCATGTTGTGACCCAACCATAAAATTATTTTCGTTGCTACTTCATAATTGTAATGTTGCTACTGTTATGAATCATAATGTAAATATCTGATATGCAGGATGGTCTTAGGCGACTCCTGTGAAAGGGTCGTTTGACCGCCAAAGGGGTCGCGACCCACAGGCTGAGAACCGCTGATCTAGAGGCTGCTGAGTAGATAAACAGGTCTGTTTGTTATGAGACAATTTTAGCAAAGCCAAGTTAGAGTCAGTCTTCCTGTGGCATCTGCTACCAGGGTAGGCTCTGGGTAGATCTGTGAAGTGAGCAAGGTTTGAGTTGGTTATCTTATATTTCCCTTTGGTACTGCTTTTTCTCCATTTCAGCATCTTTCTCTCTTTCTAGCCTGATTCATTTAGCCAGCATTTATGGCATTTAGTTCAACATTTATGGTATCATTTACGAGGCACTTTGCTTGGGTGGTCTGTCTAGACCTGTAATATTCATGGCATTCACTAGTATTTGAAAACTGAACTAGGTCTTTGTCATTCCATAGCCTGAGTCTATGTGAAAAACATTTCAGGCTGAGAGGAGTGATTGATTTACATCAGCAGCAGCAACTTCCTGCAATCTAATGTTTAAATTGATGCCTGTGAATCAGTTTACACACACACACACACACACACACACACACACACACACACCACCTCAACATTGGTTGGCTGATTTGAGGGAGGCTAGCTGTAGTGATCCACAAGTTCTCTTTATTGTTTCCTGAATGAAGTGGTGTTAAAGGCTTGAGATCACTTAACAAAAATGTTGAGAAAAAGTGACTGTCCAAACACAACTAAAATGATGGTATTTTAGAGAAAAGTAAAGCATCTACAAAGTGCATACTATTTCCTTTTGTCATTATTACTGACGCATTTTTTAAAAGTATAATGATTTGAATTTCTCCCCAAAGTCTCCATTTTCACAGTGGCTAACAGAACCAACCCACACAGGTATCATGGTATATGGAGGGCAGTGCACTCAGCCAGACATCCTGAGACAAGGCTCCAAGCCTCCTTTGGCTCGGTCAGTTGAAGTATCTTGCTATCTGGGAGAAGAACGGTGGCATACATTGTAGGAAGAGCATGGGACAAGTATGAGAAGATCGGAATTCTAGGCAGACCTCTGTGACTAACTAGATATGTGACTGTGGGAAGTGACCGACCCTTCTTAAGTCTTCATATCCTTATCTTTCAGCAAGAGAGTTGGTCTCATGTAAAGTACATTTTGATACAAAATGAAAATTTGTAATGGCTCTTGTGGCTACCACGTATGCTCAGCCTTCACAGTTTAAGTGCTTGCTGGGAACAACCCAGTGGAGCAGCCAGTGGATTGTCTGTAGCCTGATATGTTGGGCAGAATAAGAGAATCACATTACCAAAGAGAACCAAATGTGAGGTTAAATGCGGTGACCTGGCCTGGTTGGTCATAGGTCAACCTTGGCAAAACCTATGCTTCCTGTTCTCAGAGGTATGGTTCTGCACTGATTGGTGTTTGTTTGTTTTTCTTTTCTTTTTTTTCTGTTCTTTCAATTTGGTTCACTGTTGGCAGAGAAGAAATTGGGTGTACGTCCCTCAAAGTCATTTCCAGGGTAGTCTGGCTCTGCCACTCAGACACATCCCATTCCATCTGTTCCTCCCCAAAATAGAGAGTTGACTATCCAGTTTCTGGTCCAGGTAATGAAACAGCAAGCAGATCTGACCTAACTTTCAAGCTGTAGGTTTCTTAAGCTACTCAGCATGCTACACTGCATGCCAGTTGCCCCAAATAGATTGAAGTCAGAAAAAAGGCATAATTGGCCATTCAGTTTTAACTTTGACCTAATCCACAACTCCAACTTGTTCTTATCAACATCTGAGGATTCTGCCCACCTTAGTGACTAATTTGCATTTACCACTTCTGACCTAGACTTGCTACCTGGTAAGTGGAGATAATTAGAGGGTTTAGGGGTCATTTCTCAGAAGCCTTCCTTGATTGTCCCACATGATGTTTTCCCCACCTCAACCCTGCCATTGGCTCTAACATAGCACCTCATGATTGCTTCATTGTAAACACCTCATCACCATCCTCTCTCTCTCCTCTAATAAGACTGTGAGCTCCTTAAAAGCACTTATTGTATCTTGTTTTTCTCTATTTTTGTCCCAGGGTCTAGCACAAAGGCACAAAATAAAAACGCAATATTGTATAGATAGTATTATTATAAATATTAATGTTAAAATAGGGTTTTTCCCAAATTTTTCATTTGGAGACCCCATGTAGGCACACAATATCCTCTCTAAGCTCCAATTTCCTCATACGTACAATAGAAATAATAATGGTGCCTATTTCATGAGCTTTTGGTGAGTTGGGATTTATGAGACAAAATGTATCAAGAGGTTGACCCACAGCATTCCCTCAACACATATTAGATATTATTTTTAGCCATGATGTATATTTGAGGCACCTTGACTTTTGCATTTTTTTTCTTTGAAAAACAGGAGACCCAATTTCTTTTCAGAGAAGAAAAGAACACTCTATCTCCCAGCTTTTATCTTGCCTCAGAATAACATAAACTCTTAAAGTCTGCTCCATACCCCACTGTCATTAAGTCAAATAACACAAGAAAACCCAGCTGAGCAGCAACCTCAATGCTGACTAGTGTGAACATACACCACGGGAATATGTCCTGGGGTATAGAAATCTACCTGTCTCCATCCATCACCACCTTGCACTCCCAAACAAACAAACAAAAAATATATAGGAAATAACCACTCTGAACTATAAAAGACGTGCATACCCACTGCTAGACACTGTTCTAGAAAGTGTGAATAATGCCCCTCCCAATAGTTTCTCCATATTCATGGAAGATCAGTACTGCTCCTGTTGACAAAAATATCCTTGGAAGGAGAAAATGTGCGGAGACAGAATTTTTTAACCCCCTGAAAACTGATGGGAGATAAGTAAAAAAAGGATAGCTTGCATACATACCCATGAAGAGGATATTGGATATTGGAAAACTTTTTATTTTACATCAATAGTCAAGAACAATAATGAAGAATTAAAAAGAACTAACAATCTGAGAGTTATATACATGGCAAATAAGAGACACCTAGCTCTAAATGTGTGAAGAGGGAGGCCCGAACCCTGGCATAAGCTTGGGATATGTCCAAATGCAGCAAGTGCAATATAAGATTGTGTTTATCTACTTAAGAATGCATTTATGCTGGCCTCCCACTGTTACCAACCTGGATATGGCATTAGGTATGCATTCTCTATGTCATCTTAACTCAAATGCTACCAACTGTTTCTTTTGTGGCTCACACTGAGATTCTGCACTCAAAAAGTATGAGGCTAGGTTCCTGCAAAGCCAAAAGAAACAAAAACAATGCCCCTTTCAAAATGCAACAGCCATCATAATTATACATCAGGGTCTAATAAATAGGAGATTGCATCCTGCCTTGTCAGTGTGGCATTTGTGTACAAGGTACCTGGACAGGGCCTGTCATTTCTGCAAGCATGGGGTTGTTAAAACTGATTCTCCAATGCCGTCTCTATTAACTGAGAGTGCACGCTGACAATGCATTGGGACTAATACGGAAACATTCAGCTGACTGGGAATATGTACACCATAATTTAGACAGCATTTTGATTGTGGTGCTCAGTGATAACTGAAATGACTCTCAAAGATTTAGTCTTTTGTCTTCACAACTGCTTTTTATATTCTCCAGGATAGCCCACATTCAACTTTATATGCAAACCTGAAATGGTACTCAGGAAGAGAAAAAGCGGGGGGGAAGGCAACCAATATATCTTTCACTTTGGGAATTGAATATAAGATCACATTAAAAGTGCAGCATTTATGGTCCAAGGCTGAATATATAAAAAATATGACCATTACAAATTCACCTTCTGTTGCAAAGCCATGCTCTTGTAGTGACATATCTTATTGCTAGATTAGGGCTTTTAGCATGATGAAGGCATCTTTCATCTTCTCCTAGATGTGGCCTGGGTGCTTGTTCTGAGCTGTATTTCTGCCTGTCACAATGTCCCAATGTCCCACACCCTAGAGAGAGACAGCTTACAGAGAACCCGAGTCATTCACCAAAGGACTATGGCCACTTTGAGAGGGAAGTGCCTAATTGGAGATATTTCATCTGCAGGGGATCACACCATTTCAGATTGCCATGCTCTGCTAAATCCAAAGAGAGAGAGAGATCAGCCAATGTTGTTTTCTGGAATTAGCCCAAAGAAGTAAATCCAACATCGCAAATATTCAGCTAATACAAGTTTTGATGATACCAAAAAGACAGTTTCAGGTAGAACATGGTACATGCTAGTTACAAGAATATATATATACTATGTAAATCAGTGATATGGTTACAATGTACATGCACATGTATTTAAACCAGGACATTTATGGAATGGCTTTCAGATTCTTTTAAATCAACCCTCTATCTTCATGTATTGATCAAAGACACATTTTCATAGTTTTTGCAAATCATAAAATGATTGATAAGTGCTGTTTTCCTTAATTTTTTAAACTCATAGTCCAAATCTTGCATTGCTATAAGTCCTTGCCCTTTGTAGTCAGCCCTCAAAGCTATCTTTCCAAAGCCATCTCTTAACTTTCCCCTCTCTCTCCTTCTCTTTCTTTAATCCTTCCCACACCCAATATTCCTTACCCTTGCCTCACTCATTTAAATTTCCCAGTGACTAGCCCAGTGAGAGGCACACAGGAGTCATTCCGCAAATCTCTTTTGAATGAATATGAATGAATGACAAAATGAGGACAGCACACAGCTTTGTGATAGCTATGTTAGTTGCACAAGAGCATTTTTCACTTACTTCCCACTCTTAGATGTGTTCCGCGCCTTTTTAGATGATGGAGAGTTGGCATCTGGATTAGTGTTTGGAGAACCCCGTCTATCCTTACTATACCCACAGAAAGAATAGAAAATATACACAACAATGAACACAGAGACAAAAAGCAATTAGTCATTTCAATTAAAGACTCTCAAGACCTCTCACTTTCTCTCTTACCTCTCATTTTTCTTAATCTCTCTCTTTCTTCTCAAAATAAAGCATGATCTTATTGAATTATGTCATCCAAAGGTAAAGAGAATGGGAACCATTGTTCAAGTTCAAAGAAAGCTCTCATTAATGATGGCACCACAGCCCGGGCTCCAAGGGAGGCTCTAGCAATACTCGCCCGGGCTCCAAGGGAGGCTCTAGCAATACTCGTCTTAAACATGAAATCCTTTCTTTTCAGTCTGGATCCTCTGTATTACAAGTTCAGTTCTGAAGCTGCTGGCTTTTAGTAAAGTATATGGATGCCAATTGACTTCTAAAAGTCTTTGGGAGATAATATCAGATGAATTAATAATTTTCATTCATAATGTTAACACAGGAAGGCCATGAATTCAGTTATTCTTTCAGGAGAAGCATCACCTGCTTCATGAGTAATTAAATTTAAATCTCCACCTTCAATAATTCCACAGCTTATGTCAAACCCTGGAACCAATTACAAAATAAATCACTAGGATGGTCTGTTTAATCTCATCTAGTTAATAAATGCAGACAAATTAATCACTTGAAAGTAAACAAAAAGGAATAATTGAGTGGAGTCTTCTTGATTACTTTATTCTATTTCCTTTATCAAACTATTTTTACCATTATCTTCAATTCAGCTGCTCTGCCTTGAAATTATTGCTTTATTTCATCTTCAGATTTCCATGGAAACCAATTCAAAGCCTTTCTCGCCACTTGATGATGTGTGGAATTATTTATCATGATTTCATCGGAAAGATTTCTTTTGTTAGTAAGGTCTACGTCAGCATAACCTTTTATGAAAAGTGTAGAGAAGAAGAAAAATGCACATATTAGCTTTCAGTGAGTATAATAGAACCATCCAAGGGCATAGAATATTGTCTCAGAGAATGCTAAAGAGCTTACCAGATGTTTATGACTCTTTTAAGTACCTCAGAACTAGGTTCCTGCAAGTAGCTGTCTTTATATGTGGGGTGGGACTCACAAAAGATATTCTTCCCTGCACCACTCAGCTTTAAGTGTACATGGATGTGATTGGAACAAGAGATAATCACGGGTTCCTGGTGATTGCAAAGGCAATACAGATGTGTGTGGGTACAGACAAGAGCTAATCAGGCAGGTAGCAAGAGCCCCAGCAGGTAGGATTCAGTGTGCAGGAGGTCCCAAAAGCAGTTCTTTGAAGTAGGAGACAGCAAGGTGAGCTTCGATACTGGTGCTGGGGTGGGTGACTCTCGAGAAAGAGGACATACCTTCTGTCACAAAGGAGGCGTGAGAAGTCCACTGAGACAAAATGCCGGGATTCTGCACTTCCCTGAGAAGAATGTGGCTACATTCTGAGTGGAGATTACAGAACTCACACTGTGCTGTCCCTGCCCATCCATTATGACTTCCAGGCAAAGAACTCTTTAACTGTACCTGGCACCATCCCAGCTCTCCTGCTCCTTCAGAACCAAGCTCAGAAACTGAGGAATAACATTGAATAAGTGGATAAAAGACTTGTAACTCAGAAGAATTCAAAACCATATCTTTCAGAAGGTCAATGCAGTCTAATGCAAAGGACACACTATGCTATATGTTCCAAATGTGAGCAAGTTTCAGTTTTCTCACTTCCATGCCCTGGTCACTGGCCACTGAGCCTTCCTCCTTCTAGCCCCTCAATAGAACTTGAGGCAGTGGGAAACTTTACTGGAAGCATTCTAAAAGAAGGGGTTTGGTCTTTTGATTTTGCCCGCTACTAGCTTCAGAGTAGGTGGTCATCTAGGACTCCCCAGAGTCACTAAGTTCAGACATCCACATTCTTTTGAATTAAAGAACTCTCATTCCCACTGTCAAATTCCCATGTCTGGGCCTTGGGCGCAAGGGTCCTTTACAATCTGCATGACAAGTGATCCTGTTTAAGCTCAATGCAGGGCACAACAGGACACTAGGGAAAGCTGTCAGCTGTCAGTGGCAGCCTTACTATTGTTAACTGCTGCTCTGGAGGGGGGGGTGGTCCTTCAAAGCTCCGAATAAGGACCCCAATGACCTACTGGCAAATCCTGCAAGTGCTGATCTGAAGGGAATGAAGACAAAAACTCAGAAAAATCACACACCGAAGGTATGGCACCAAGAGTGGAGGTGAACAAAATCAAATAACTCAAAATGTTTCTACTGTGCAAATAGCAGATCCATTCACAGGGGCAAAATGTATGTGAAACTGAGGGAGGGGCCAAGCAGAACTTGTAACAGGTTTGGAGTTTAACTTTGTAAGACAACATACCTGTTATATAGAAAGGTTTGAGGAAAAAAGAATCATCATTCCAGGCTGCCTAAGTAAGTATGGACAAGATGCCATAATTTTGATAGCATGAGAGAGAAGGACCTTGAGTTTTCCAGAAGTGCCCCATGAAGAGTAGGAGATAACCCTGCAGCTGCAGACTCTCTGAGAGCCTTAAAAAAACATTGGTCGAGGACCCAAACATTAATGCGCTACCAAGGACCCTGGTCACTAAAACACCCGGCAATCCCAGGGACTTAGAGGAATAAGCCCTGCCTGCTTTTAGGGTATATGGGTAGTAATTTGGAGTATATGAGATGGGTAAGTGGGGGCTGCCTTGAATTAGAGCTAGTTTTCACCCATCTGAAACAGACCTACCCCAGTTGTCATCACTTTGTCTGTCTCTAGAGCACTTGTCAGCCCTCTTTACTTTCATCTCCTCTTTGGGTTGTGATCTGAAAGGCTGTGGCCTGAAATCCCTGAGGGCATGGCTCCAGGCTTCTTCCATTGCTCCTGAATAGCTATCCTCTTCTAAGGTTAAGATTCTTTCCTCCCTCCCTCACAACTCTGCCTCATCAAAGGCCTAGGAAAACAATTCCAGGTGAGGTCCTCATAGGAAAAGTTAATGAGTACCAGCACTCCTGTTTGCCTGGCTCAGCTGTCTGCCGCCATCTATGAAGTGAGCTCTTTTCCACAGGCCCAACAAACACCAGAAAATTGGGGAGAAATCTGTAGTATTCTGCACATTGTATTCAGGTGGGAAATCTGTGACTAACCTAACACTTCAGCAGTTTCAAAGTGTTTCTGATTGAATAATTTGATGCTGAAATGGTATTCAGTGTGCTTAACCCAAAATGGCAATCACATCCACTCCAATCTAGATTTTTCTCTTACGTCAGAGAGGTACTTAAGGGAGAAGAACCTAGTGATTTCAAACACACACCACTCACTTTCTTGATGGGGGGCATACAGAAACTTCTGCATTTCCTGTAGTACTTCGTAAGCTCTTTTTGGAATTAATTTATCTCAAACCCATGAAAAAATAGTTGTGTTGCTCTAACTATAATAGTACTGACATTTAAAAAATTAATTTTCAGGTTCCTAGGAAGTTGAAATTGTATTTCAGAAGAGAGAGTTGGCCTATAAGACTATTGTCTACAAATCTTTTATTTGGCACTTAGCATGTGGTGCTTGTAGCGTTGTTTATATTTGTTTATCTTTTTTGCCAAATAGCTCGTGTGAGGGTGCCCAAAATATTTGAACAGATAAACAAAAAAGCTGCATTTGGGTTCAGTGGAAAAGGAATGCTATGACTGATTATCAATGTCTGGCACTATGTGAGAGAAGGAAGTGATGACACACGTCACATATTTTCCACCCCCTGAAGAAGAATGGTCTGGGAGGACTGGATTCTAGTTACTGATGATTGATCAACATGTGGATCCCAAAGACAGGGAGCTTAGAAAGGATTCTCAAGCAAGCTTTCTTGATAGTTGGCTAGTGTCTCTGAATAACAACAATCTTGTATAGCTCTTGATGTTTTCCAGTGTGTGTTCTTGTAAGTGATAACTAAGATGAAACTCAAGCTATAGTTAAGGGGTTATTTCAAGTGTCTCTGGGGAAATGGTAGCTTCTCTGTACTCCCTAGAGATAACCCTCGACTCCATAAGGCTGCCAGGATGAGAAAATGCACTTAAAATACAAAACCCTACCAGAGATAGAAGCTCATTTAATTTGTTTCCCCAAACAGGTGCTTCTACAACATATCTACCAGTGGATATCTCTTGAGAGGCTTTTTAAATCATAATTGTTCCCCCCCCAAAAAAAATCCTGTTTTTCTATGTTCTAACGGGCTCACATTTCGAAGTATGTTTTGCCCTGGTGCTATTATTGAGCAAGACAGCTCTTCAAATATTGATTTCCTTTAATTAGAGCTGATGAGACTTCTTTATTTCATTTTTCTATCAAGCGAGGTTATGTCCTGAGTGGTTCTCTTTCTTTGCTCCAAACTTTTTCATTTTCTTCTACCCTAAGTGTCTAAGTTAGAGTCCATGCCCCTTTAAGTGTCCTATACCCATTATGTATATTTCTGTTCATCACCAAGCAAAGAATGTTCAGTTCACTAAGCTGTGCTTTTGTTTAGCTTCCTCCCCTACTTTCCCTTTGCTTAACTGTGAATGACTGAGGTTTTTAAGAGAAGAGAAAAGCTCATCTTTATTGCTCTGAAGTCCAGTGTAACTGATCTCTCAGAAGCAACCTCCTATGATCAAAGCATTTACTCAGGAATCTTGAGTTCTTATGCTGACTGCCAGCAAGGCATACAATTTTTTTTCTGTATTAGCATTCTCATCTATAAAGCTGAGTACATTAAACTGATCAGGTAAATCGTTCACACATAAGCTCAGGATTACTTTGTGATCGCAGAGCTCTTGGAAAACGCAGCTGGGACACTTGCATTAACTTGCCCTCTCCCCTTCCATCCATTAACTTTTCACTCTAACAACTCTCCACAGAGGCATCAGGGACTGGAGCAATAAGCTTATTGATTATTGTTGCTATTTTGTTCTCTTCACCTCTTGACACATGCTGTTTCTGCCCAGGGAAGGCAAGCACATCCCCGAATGCCTCA